GCTGGCCCAAACCTGAGAATTCTTAATTGTTTAATTTTACTCCCACCTCTCATCCTGGAGCAAAAGTATAATTTACTTACATTGTCTATCACCTGCTGATCTTATCATTAGTAAGAGTAACTAATATCTACTGAGTGCTTGCTATGTGCCAGGCACTATGCCTAGTGCTTTCTTGATGTGTTATGTCAGTTAATCTTCACAGCCAGCACTTGAGGCAGGTGCCATTGTCACCCCCATTCTACAGGTAAGGAAACTGAGGCTTAGAGATGGGAAAGGCTCTATGCTGTCTGAAATTCAGCTCCTTGTCTTTCTCAAACTGCTCGCTTGTGTCTTCCCCATCTTGGTTGATAGGAACACCCACTTTCAGTTGCTCAGCCCCAAAACCTGGGACTCACCATCATGCGCCCCTTCTCTCACACCCCACACCATGCCTGCTGGCCCTCCTGGTGTCCTGCCCACTCTGCATCCCACTGCCACTGCCTCCCTTTTGCCTGGATTCCTACCACAGCCTCCTTACTGGTCCCCCCACTTCCACTCTCTCCCCTCAATCTCTTCTCTGTTTCTGAGTCAGGGTGGCCCTGCTAAAACCCAAGTCAGACCAAGCCATGCCTCTGATCGCAGCCTCACAATGGCTACCCTTCCTGACAGGCCAAAGCTGCGTTCTCACTGGTGGTCCATTCCCCTGCTCCCCCTCCTCCCTCGCTGCTTCCTTCCTGCCCCATCCGGGACCTTTCTTGCTGTTCCTCCAACAAGCGCCCCACACCCCTGGACTCCAGGGCCTCGGTTCAGCTCTGCTCCAGGCTTCCCATGGCTCACTCCTCACCTCTTCATGTCTTTGCTCAGGAAGGCCCACCTGACCACCTCACACTCCTGTTCTCCCTCACTCGGCTTGGTTTCTTATCATAGCACCTATCACCTCTTCCATATCACACTGTGTACCCATTGATTAATTTTTGTTTATTTTATTTTGTCTGTTCTCCCCTCTCACGAGAATGTGCATAGGGATTTTTGACTGTTTCTTCAGTAATGTATCCCCATACATAATAGGTGCTCAATAAATTTGTTGATTGAATGAATGAATGTGTTCCCCGAGGCTACACGGCTGATAAGTGGCATTGCCAGGATGCCAGTTGTTCACCTTCACTCATGTTGCTCCTTATTCCCAAAGTGCACCCCCCACACCCCATCCCAATGCACAGTGGCTCCCAAAAGTGCCCTAGATAGTTCCCAGATCTGGTCGGTCACCACGTTTTGACTCTGCCTCCAGAACACTTAGCACATATTCACGGTGGTACCGACTGTCTGAAGGATGAATCCACTCTGCTTTCCAGCCCTTGCGGGCTTCTCCATGGCCTGTGGAGTCCCATCGAGCTGTTCAGCGTGTCCTCGGGGGCTTCATCGACAGACCGGGGAGCTCAAGCCAGGCCTCCCCACACCCCTTCCTGCAGCCACAGTGGCAGTCCAGGCTCTCACACTGCTCCCATCCTGCAGTTCCATCTGCCGAAGTGTCCCACACCCTCCCATCCTTACCATCCCTTCTCCGTCGCTCCTGACAAAAGCCCGGCTCTCACCTGGTCCTGAGGAGACCTCCCCTCAGCTCTGCCCCAGTCTTTTCTCCGCACTAAAGCCACAGTGATCTTGTAAAGCTCACACTCTCCGTGACTCCCCAGTGTTGAACACCTGCCCTCACCTCTCTTAGAGACGCACCTGGCCCTGCGCTGGCTCGCCTTGAGCCCGTTCACCTTGTTCCCAAGGCCTCAGCCACACCTCCTTCTCCAGTTTTTCCAAAGACCCAATCTCTTCTTGCTTTAGGACCTTTACACAAGTGTACCCCTGAGCAAAGAAGTGGTCCCGCCCAGCGTCTCCTCATCCTTCAGGTAACAGCTCAGAAGTCTCTTCCTGGGGATGCCTTCCCCCAGGGCTTGGTCAGGCTTCCTGCTCTGTGTGTCTCAGGCCACCTTGCATTTACCCTTGGAGTCATTTATCAGCGTGTCTGAGGATGCATTTACCTGGATGTGACTTGATTAGCATCTCTGTTCCCTGCTGAGTGGAGCCCTTCGTCACAAGCACACCGTGGCTGTTTGGCTCACCTGTGTATCCTCAAGGCCCAGCACAGGTCCTGGCATATAATAGATGCTCAGTAGTTGTTTGTTCAGAGAATGTCTGTTCCCTGTGCCTGCAGTGCCCTTTCGCTTCTCTGCCAGCAAACTCCTGTCATCCTTTAAGACAAATGCTTCCTCTTACTCTGCCGCTTCTTACACCGGCTCAAGGCCCTGGGTCTTTTTCCTCCTTCCTCTGAGCTACACAGGGGGAGGTGCTGGGCATGGTACATTACATGTGGTTGGCATTCTGGAAGTGTTTGTGTCTTAACCTGACAGATCTTTTTCCTCATTGTCACGTATTGCTGTGTTGTTTTCCATTTGCCTTGTATAGTGTGGTTTCCTCAGCCATTTGCTCACCTCCTGAAAGGCAGGCTCAGTGTCATAGCCCTGCTTTTGTATCTCCCGCTCCTAAGCCTGACATGGGGCTGTGTACAACTAGAAAGATTCTAGTATATCCTTCTTAAAACCATGCAGTGTCTGCTTAAGGTTATGGGGCCCTTGGCACTTTGAGAGGCACCTTGAGACCTCCTTTTTCTCATTCCAGACTGCCTATGTAATTTGGGAGGTCCAGTGCAGGGCCCCTTATTCGAAAATTATGAAGAGTTTCAGGGGCCGTCCCGGTGGCACAGTGGTTAAGTGCGCACATTCCACTTCAACAGCCCAGGGTTCACTGGTTTGGAGCCTGGGTGCAGATATGGCACTGCTTGGCAAGCCATGCTGTGGTAGGCATCCCACATATAAAGTGGAGGAAGATGGGCACGGATGTTAGCTCAGGGCCAGTCTTCCTCAGCAAAAAGAGGAGGATTGGCAGCAGATGTTAGCTCAGGGCTAATCTTCCTCCAAAAAAAAAAAAAAGAATTTCAGGGGCCGCCCTGTGGCCGAGTGGTTAAGTGCACGTGCTCCACTTTGGCAACCTAGGGTTTCGCCGGTTCGGATCCTGGGCGCAGACATGGCACCACTCGTGAGGCCATGCTGGGGCAGCGTCCCATGTAGCACAACCAGAGGAACTCACAGTTGGAGTATGCAGCTGTGTACTGGGGGACTTTGGGGAGAAGAAGAAAGGGGAAAAAAAAAGATTGGCAACAGATGTTAGCTCAGGTGCCAATCTTAAAAAAAGAAAAAATTTTTTTTAATTTCAAGATGGCGACAGCAGAGCGTTAAACCGTGAATGGAGCCCTTCTCAGCTCCCAGGCCTCATGCTCCTGAAGCCAGCCCTGGTCTTGTATCCACCAAGGGAAATATGGTAGATCGTGATTTCCTTTTTACAGATGGTGAAATGAAGGGCCCAGAAGGGCAGTGACCAACCTCAGGTTGTACGGCCAATGCGCGACAGAGCAGAACCAAGAACAGAATCCAGCTCCTGCAGCATGCTTACCCCCAGGGACTTTGAGCCTCAGTTTCCTCCTCTGAAAATTGGTGACATTGACCTGATCGTAAATGGCAAGTAGCACAGTTGGCCATGAGTCCCTGGGGCCCATCGGAAACACCACAGCATCGCTTTGAAGTCTTCTCTTACGGTCATGAATACAAAGTTCCTCTCTGCTTCTTGGAAGGATCCGAGCCCTGTAGACAGTAGGAGGCTAATTGGCTGTTGTGGTAGTTGAAGAAATTAAAGCCCCTCAGAAGTGGGAGAACGTTGTCTCTTTTCATCTCTTTTTGAAGGAATGTGAGGACTTGGTGGAAAGTTCCCCCAGGGTTCCTTGGCATTTTGGTGCTTTGATATGTAGAGGAATAAAAGAGCAATTAATTGCTATAAATGTCTGTTCCTGTAGGGATAGTCTGAGGGTGGAGGGGGTGGCAGTGGTGGGTGACGGCTCTTCCATCCCAGGGCCATCCGCTGGTGGAAGGGGTACACACAAAGAGACCCAGAGGTTGGAGTGGGCCGTAGGGCCACCTGTCGGAGAGGCTTTTGGAATCTCAGTTTCCCTGTAAAACACATTTTCCTCAGCCCCTGGGGTGAGCAAGCAGCTTTCTTTGTAGAAATCACTGAAGACAGAGAGGTTTCCAAGCTCCCCTTGGTCCTGCACCTCCCTCAGAACAGGTTTCTCAAAGTATTCTCCTCAGACCTCTGTCCTCACCGCAAGGCTGAGAGCTAGGCATCCACCTTTAAACCAGGTGTCCCGAGGTCTGTGCACAGCAGTGGACGAGATGGCCAGGCTGCATGGGTGGGTGGGGCCCCCGCCTACTTCTCTCTGTGCCTCCCAGCCGTCTGCCATCATACTCCTGCCAGGTTAACGTGCAGAGGACCTGAGCCATGAGGTTGCATGTGAGAGGCAAAAGAAAGGAAGACAGTGTTCTCTGATTCCTGGAAGAGTGTGTTTGGGGCAAGCAGACATGTGGGCAGGCTAGCAGGTTGTAAATTATCGGTATCTGTTTTGTGTGTGTGTATGTTAATGTTTACATACACAACCACAGCTGTTCACCTAGCACACAACAAACACAATGCGCGTCTGAGCACGGAGGAGGTGGACACCCCGGTACCTGTGCCTGTCTCGTCAGGCCCTGTTTGGTGGGTGGAACGCCTTCTCATGCAGGTGCAGGACTTGCCCATCAGCTGTCCCGGAGTGATTCACTCCGGTCCTCAACGTCTCTGAGCACAGCTTTCAGTTGGATTTGGTGACTAACCCAAGGGGTGGAGGAGAGTGTGTGCTTGACCTGCTTTGGCCGGAAATGACAGGCGAGCATAGCTGAGTCAGCACCTCGTCCCAGAGGTGTTGGTGCGAGTTCCCTGGGCTGGCCAGACACACAGGTATTTCTGGACTGCGGCAGACCGATTGCCATGAGCTTCCCGCCAGCAGTCCTGTATCTGTCAGCATGGGGCGTGTGCTCCAGGTTCCACTCTGGCAGCCTTTGGGCCCCTCCTGGCTCCTCCCATGACCCGTGTCTGTGTTTCCACAGGGCCGCACCTTCCTATTTCTCCCTGACCACAGCCCGTCTGTCACAGTTGAGCACCTGTTTGCCTGAAGTTAATTTCCAGAAGCAGGTAAGGGCCCCTGGGGAAGGACTTCTGGTAATGTGGCCATAGAACGCTGTTGGGGAGGGGACCTTGGGGACAGGCTCCAGGGCCGACTGTGAAGTTAGCTCATCTCATTTCCTTTCTCCAGCATCCCGAATAGTGCTCATTTCTTCAGCCGTGTGGGTTCCTACAGCGAATTTTGTGGTACTACTGATCTCTTTTAGTCTGTTAAGATGTGTGCAGTCTCTGAATTAGTATTTTATGTAAGTTCTATGAATCGTACAATCGACATTGTGATTTTTGTGCAATGTAAACATTGTACAAATGTAAATGTACATTTTTTAATGTAGCATTTAAAATATATCACAATTTCTTAAAAAATGGACAGAAGACAAGTGCTGGGACCCATGGGGCAGAGGGGTGGTACGTCCAAAGGGCTCCCTGCTGTCTGGCCCAGCCTGAGATTACTCAGTATTTTCCAAGCAGGTGCAAGACCACCCTGGCTATAAATGTGTATTCCAATGTATATAAACGTGGGTGTTCAAACAGCATTAGCCTCAAGTTTATAAATAAAAATGAGTGCAGGTGGCTATTTGTATTCAGGGCCACTCGTGCCTCTGGAAGGGAGGCTAGCTTTCAGAGCTGTTTATCAGAAAGTCTGATGGCTGCATGTAACACTCAGCAGTCCTGCTCTCCGGGTCCCTCTTGCACTGCCTCCCGATTCTTCTAGAGTGAAATCAACTGCTTCAAAGCTGGAGATCATGTGCTGGTAGAGATTAGGTCCCTGCAGAGCCTGGCAGGAGCATGGTATCTTACATATGACCTCAGATGTCTCCCGGAGAACGCAGTGTGGCCTCTCAGGTGACAGGCCACATTTGTCACTTTGTACGATCCTTCCCAGTGGTTGGGAGCCCCTTCCTCACTGTCCTTCACCAGCCAAGCGTCTTTCAGCAAAGATGCAGGCTCAGAGCCAATGCGGGGGGGGGGGGGGGGGGGCGGGGTGCATCTGTGTGTCTACAGTGAATGTATGTACCTTGGTTTCTCTCAGTTGCATTTGTCCCAATCTGATGTGACTTTCTGGAATCACACCCACTTTTCGCAAAGCACATGGATGTCTACAGCATAATGTATAGCCACAGGCCTCTCCCCTTCTCATTCCTTTGGACAGTTGATAGTTGCCTGTTATCTTCCATTTTGGGGCTCATTTATGCCTTTCCCTAGTTAGCTTCCAGAATGTTATATCTTAAGAGAGGGAGCAGTCTGTCTCTGACTTGGGCAGTTAACACAGAGGTTTTCTTAGGATTTAGAATGGAAGCATCACCATTTTGGTGATGGGATGTTTATGGGGCTTGTGGGGAGACCATAATTGAGAAGCATCGTTACTTTTGGTTCTTACAACTGAGGACTGAATGAATACTTAGTGTGTCTAAATTAGTTCCAGTTTGGACTTATGTGACTGAAACATATTTTAATGGAGACCAGTTCTTGATCCCTACAGGAGAGAATAACAATTCTCAAACGAAGTTGATCTGATGCTTGTCAGAATTGTGATGAAAATTTAATACATGTTTGCTTGGATAGGCACCAAACCCAAATACACTTCAATATGCCTGTGGCACACCAGTGACTGAAATGTCTGTGTTGTTTGGGTTGATTATGATTTATGCTCTTCAATTATTAATTTTCTTCACATGGACACCTGTGATGTAGATTCTGTTTAGGACGGAATTATGTAACCCAGTCATGACGTTCTCATCCATTAGGATTGGAGTGTGAAGGCGGGAGTGTGTGCTCATGGCCACGTTCTACCCCAGATCTAGCCCTCAGTGTTCCCACTGTCAGGCAGCAGGATGAAATCAGCTCAGGATAGAGCTTGAAGGATGCTAGAAGACGAGAATTTTTAGAAATGACAGGAGTCTTCCCCAAAGCCAGAAAACACAGTTTGAGAAACCATGTCTGCCAGGGAAGTGTGCTAAAGTGGGAGTAACCCAGCCCCAAAGAGCCTTTCAGAAACCAATGACCACACCATAGGCCCATGGCTGGGCTGCCTGAGTGCCCCCTAATAATCACAGCGTGAGTGTGGGAGGTCACCGGGAATAGTGAGGCTACAATGGCGGGGAATGATGGAATGACACCAGTCTCTACAGGGTGCTGAGCATAGGAACGTTCAACAGAGCAAAATTCTGTAAAATAGACCTCATGTGAGATGATTCACACACACACACACACACACACACACACAAAATCTCTCTGTCTGTCTGTCTCTCTCTCCTGTTGTTTCTGAGTCCGCATTTCTGTTGGAGGAAGCCTGGCTTGTCAGGAAAGGACGGCGAGGAAGGGGTTCCCACCCACTGTGAAGCCAGGACCCTAGGTCCTGGGATGCGCAGCAAGACCAGATACGTGTCCTTGCCTGGGTAGAGCTGGGCCCCTGAGTGAGTGAATAGATCTTGCGCTGGGGCGCAGGACTGGCGTGTGGTTTGTGACAGTATGATCAGAATGCGGGCTTGAACTTGATGGGCCTGCTGGGGACAAGTGGAGTCGGGCAGCACTGAACTCTGGTTCTTTTGTGTGTGGTGACACCTAGTGGCCAGTCACTTGTCTCCCGTGCTGTCTTTCACGAGGAGAGAATCCTTGGACACAGGACAGAATTGGATGATTTTTACTCCTAGAAGCCCTAACTCCCAGTTTGAAGGCCTTACGGGGAATTTCAGATTTCCTCTGGAGAACGTGAGAACCCAAGGCACTCAAATTACTCGGGAATGAGAGTCCTTTGGAAAAGCTAAATTTGGTGATGGAGACCGTATTGATACTTTGGTCTCTTTCAACACGATGACATTTGGCCCTAAATTGATGTGGATGTTGTCAGGGTTGGGGGAGCCTGGACATCTCAGGCTGCCTCGATATTCCATCCAGCCATCAGGCAGCATTTGTTAAGTGCCCGCCAGGCGTGGTGTTTGGCTGTGGGGAGACAGGGTGAGTGAAACAGATGTGGCCCTGGCCTTCCAGGCAGCCAGGGGAGAGACAAGAAGCAAGTGCGCCGACCAGATGCTTTCAGAAAACTGAGGCGAGACAGGTCTGTGTGACCGAGAGGGTCTGGGGTGGGGCCCAGAACCTGCCTCGTTTATGCTGTCAGGAAAGGATTCCCTGGGAAGGCGTCTAAGTGAGAAAGGTGAAAAGGACACCAGTGCAAAGGCCGCTGGGGGAAGGAGCTTCTTGGCCTGTTCTAGAAACAGACTGGGGGCCAGGAAGGCAGAGCAGCAAGGGGAGGAGGGCGGAGAGGGAGTAGGCTGCCGGTGTGGGGTCCTGGCAAGGACTGTACGATGTATTCTGAGGTAGGTAGGAGTGGGAGTGATGTCATCAGTTCTGGTTTTTTTTTTTTAATCATTCTGGCTACTTGTGTGGGGTGGTGAAGTTGAAGAAAGTGAGGAGGGGTCAACGTGAGGAGAAGTGATACCCCAGACCTGAGCTTTCCCACTCAGCTGTGCTAGGAAGTTGGGGTTGTCCCCTCTTTCCGGGCTACCAGTTGTTCCTTAGGCCCTTTTCTGAGCCCAGAGGTGGCAGGGGGCAGACAGTAGGATAGGGAGCCTGGGGCCTTACTGGCGGAAAGGAAGGCCCTGAGAGGAGAGTGTGCCACATCAAGCGTACAGCTGCAGTGTAAGCCCCAATTTGCCAGCTTTTTAGCCTATTGTGTGGCCTTTTAGGGCAAGATCTCCTATTAGGTTATGGGGACTGAGCAGTTGACGGGGACCTCCAGGGAGGCTGCTGCCCCAGCTCTGGTGCATTTCTGAGTGCACCCTTTACATGGAGAGCAGCCCTGCCTGGGAGAGCCCACTGGTCCAGGGCTTGCTGGCCCCTGAGGGATGGACAGTGTGAGGAGAGTCCTTGGCACACCAGCCCAATTCCCTTGGTCCTCCGAGTGCAGCTCCTTGGCACCGGGGTTGCTGAGGCTCCACCCCCACCAGCTGCTGCGTTATTTCTGACTCATCCAGGAGTTACAAGTGTGTAACCCAAACCCCTCCACACCCAGCTGCCTCTCCACCAGCTCCTCCTGGAGAGAGGAAACCTGGGGCTTCTCTCCTGGGACCTTTCTGCAGATCCGGTCCCTGCTGCACCTGGACATAGCTGCTGCCTGCAGGAGCTGCCCTTGGACAGGTGGGGTGGGCCTGTGAGGGTGACGGCAGTGAGCCTGGGTGGGTGCCTGTGCCCCACAGCCCTGGCTCCTCCTCTCCCCATCGAGGGACTCCTTGGAACCCAGCCCAAGAGCTGGCCTCTTGAACTTGTCAGGGGCTTTTGCAGAAGGAGCTGTCTTGGTGTTTGGGGGCTGGGTACTGATTCCTGGTTTCTCCAGCCAAAGGCCCCAGCCAGCTGCCTCTGATCCTGTCACTTTTGCTCCTTGTGGAAGTTGCTTGCTTTGAAAACCTGGGACACTTTGGGCTTCATGCAGCACATGCGCTGTGACTCATAACAGGAGCCTTGCTGAGGGGGTGGCAGGAAGGTAGAGCTGACCGGAAGTCTGGGTCAGCTCAGTCCCCCTGGGCCTGACAGCAGAGGGTGCTGGTCGCCAGTGCCTGCTCTAGGATATAGCCGCCTAGTCAGGCTGGCTGGGGCCAGTGGGGGTGAGGGAGGAACGTGCAACTCGCCACCTGCTCTGGGCTCTCAGAAACAAGACCCTGAAGCGTTGTGGGCTGCCTGACAACTCCTGCCACGCACCTTGTCTGTATCTGGGTATGTCTCATCCTGACACCCCCCCACTTCGGTGCTTCTCCTCACTCTGCAGGAGTCCCCAGAGCTGGCCAGGGGATGAACCGCGAGGGTGCTCCCGGAAAGAGTCCGGAGGAAATGTACATTCAGCAGAAGGTCCGAGTGCTGCTCATGCTGAGGAAGATGGGATCAAACGTGAGTGCCTTTGGGGTGTTGAGCAGCAGGCACCCCAGGGAAGGTGCCTGATGCAGGCAGAGCAGAGGGGCTGTAGCCACCTCCTGTAGCAGCCGTGGTCTGGGGAGGGGGATGCTGGGCCTGTGGTTTGGCTCTGTAGCTAATTCATGTGGCACAGAGCCCAGCATGTCCAGTTCTTCCACCCCCGTGGGCTCAGTCTTCCCACCCCCATCTGAGTTTGGGCCAGGTGGGTGAGAGTTCTAAAGGCTCTGGCCCTCCCTTCCTCCCCTCTCCCACCCCTGAGAGTCTTCTCCCCAGGAGGCGTCCGAGGGGCACTGGGCAGGATAGGCACCGAGAGGGCAGCAGATGTGTGGGGGCTTTTCTCAGAAAGGGGGGTGCTCGCCGAGCAGGGCCTGTCTTCCTGCTGGCCCTGCACTGCACTAGAATCCAGCCTCAGATCTGATCCCAGTGCCGAGGCCTGTGGGCCCATGGACCAAGTTTCACGGGGGGAGGAAGTGGGCAGGAGGAGATGCTCGCTCTGGAAACAGAAAGGTCAAATCTCAGGAATAGAGGCTTGGGGAGCAAAGGAGGAAGTACCTTCCGGGAGCCGGTGCATGCACCCCTCACCTGCAGCTCTCTCACCCTTGCAGCTGACGGCCAGCGAGGAGGAGTTCCTGCGCACCTACGCGGGGGTAGTCAACAGCCAGCTCAGCCAGCTGCCGCAGCACTCTATCGACCAGGGTGAGTCAAGGGCCAGGGCGGCCAGCCATGCCACTCCCAGGGCACCAAGTTGTGGTTCCTTTAGGAAGCGTAGCTCCGGGGCAGACAAGGAGGGGCTGCAGCTCCCTCCCATCCACAGAGCTGAGCCCCAGGTGGCAGCAGCATCTAAACAGGAGCCTCCAGCCTGGCCCATCTCCTTGCCCAGGTGGGAGCCAAGGACCCAATCTGGTAGTGGTGGGATCCCTTTCTTGGCCTGAGGAAGGCTAGAAAGATAGGTGTCTGGGCCCCCTGTAACTGCAGAGGCTCTGGTTGTTGCATTTCCTCTGGCTTGACCTCTGCCCACCGAGCACCCTGTCCAAGGACAGTGAAACCACCCTTGTGTGCTAGGACCTGGCCTTGGCTCTGGCTACACTGGGGCCAATGTGTTCCTAGTTGTGCCTAGAGGGGAGGCCCCAAGGGCCCTGGAGGTCTCCATTTGCACGCGGGAGTTATTTCTTTCCTGGGTGCCTTCAGCCAATCATGATAACAGCAGCGGGCAGCATTTGAGTGTCTGCTGTCCAGCAGGTGCCTGCTAAGTGCACACATCACTTCATGAAATCGTAGGTAGCTACTGTTTGTATTACTTCCACTTAATAGGCAAGGACACTGGGGTTCAGAAGCAACAAGTCACCGTCTGTCCTAGAGCAGCAGGAGGCTGCTGGGCACTTATGGGGCTTCCCCTTTCTGGAAGGCTTATACTGACCCTGCAGCCTGGTATCCTGACCAGCATCTCCATCTAGTCCTTTCCTTTTAGTTTATGCTTAGTTGGAATTGTTGGCCATAAAATAGTGCAGCCTGTGGCGTGTCTGGTATGAGTGGTCCCAAAAGGAGAGTGCTGAGGGCTGTGTTTGTGATCCATGAGGTCGAGGAGGAGAGCAGGTCTGGCACATGGGGCTGCTTGTCTTGAAGCTGCCCTTGTTTTCCTGGATGTGGCAGGGCTCTGCCCTGGCACAGGCCCAGGTTCCTGAGCTCTGACGCTGGGTGTGACCCAGCCTGTGCACCTAACTCAGCAGAAATTTACAGGATGTCCCAGTGGCCAGGCAGCTCCCTGGGAGAGCTGCTCACTGTGAACAGCTGCCTGGACTGTACTCATCCTGTTCTGTACCGAATGTGCTGTCGGCCAGTGGCTGGGGAGGAGATAAGGGGGTGGAGTCTGCCTCCACCCCACCCCTGGGAGATTTTTTCCCAGAGAGATCTTTTCTCTTCCAGGGCTGATGGGATTTCTAGCATGAGTCCCTCTCCCCTGGCTTCTGAACTGTATCTACCTGAAACCCTCAGGCTTCTGAGTCCCTGGGCCATCATCTTCTCTCCCACCCTGGTTTTGTGTCACTGAGTTAACCTGAATTTGGACCGGCATGGTAAGAATTCCTCTAGCAGAATGCTTTTAATGGAAAAATCATAAGTTGTAGAATTGTATGTCACTATAGAAAGCAACAACACATACACCCCACACACACACAAACACTCACATACGAGTATAGAAAAAAAAAGCTAAGGAATATACACCAGGCTGTTAATAGGAAATTTTGATAGAGGATTGAGCTATATAAGGGACTTTGACTTTCCAAGTCACACATTTTTGTAAAACATTTCTTTTGTAATAAGGGGAAGTTTAGAAAGTGTTTTTAAGAGAACCGTTTTTATTTCACCTAGCTAAACCAAAAGTTGAGAATAAAAATGAGCTCTATTGAGTTGTTTAAGGAGGTCACGGTGGTTTTACCTGGCCTGAAACTGCTGAGCAGTCAGGAGAGAGCCGTAGGTGGGTGGGTGTGACCCTGGGATCCCAGCCCTCCTGGGCATGGGATCTCCACGAGACAGCCAGGCCGGCCTCAGATCCGTCTCTCTCTAGGGAGCAGGCTGGAGCCAGGGGAGAATCTCTGGGGAGGCTGGTGTCGGGAGTGGTTCTCTGCTGCTGGGGTGTCCTGCATACTGTCCCTGGCCCCCACGGTCACCTCTGAACTGAACCACACAGGAAGACACGCATGCACGCGGCAGAAGGCCCTGAGAATCCTCGTGGACTGTGAGCTGGAGAGGGGAGGGGGTGGCCATGCCTGCGAGAGCTTCAGAGGCAGTGTTATTTCCTTTGTGTCCCTAAAGACACCACAGACAAATACACAATAACAAGAAAGCAGTCAGTCCAGTCTCTCCCACTGTGGAGGCACAGCCCTGAGAGCAGCACCCTACGTTTCTGCCCAGGCTGTGGGGCCACATGGGGCTTGGCTAAAATTCTAGCCTGCCCACCTTCTCTGTCGGCACAGCCAACCACAGTCGATGCACAGCATTGCTTCCAATGCCTGGGACTCCAGTGTGAAAGGCCCCCAAAGGCCTGGGAGCAGTCAGGGTGATGGGCATGATGGGCTGGTGTGAGCGCCTTCTGCCACTAGGTGGCGCTGTCTTTCAGTAAATGCCCAGAGCTCGCCTCTGCGACTCTTACCTATGCTATTCCCAGGGACAGAAAAGATTCCTCCAGTTCCCGTCGGTGGGGGCCCTGGGGCCACACCACCAATGAGACAGAGCTTGGCATTGGTCCTGGAGTCCCACCCACCACCCTTAGACCCGTAGACACTTCCCCTCCAAGGCTGGAGGGGTCTGGTACCGGGGGCACTCCTTGCCCTCCCCAGACCCAGGCAGGAGAGCCGGCTGGGCGTCCCTTGCCCACTGTGGTCCGGTCTGTGCCCAGGCCTCCCGCCTTCCTGTTCTTGCCTTGGTGAATGTGTGTCCAGTATCTGCTGGGTCCAGGCAGGTGATGGGGACCCTAGTGCATGGGCCTGCACCTGGGGCTCACTAAATGGTTCCAGCAGAGGGACCCAGTGGCCCCCAGTACTGAACAGTGGACCCACCTGGCCTGTGCTGGTCTGAAACATCCATGGCAGCCTCCCTTGTCTTCCATGATACTCCTCCCTCTGTCTCTCTCCTCCCCCTTTCTCCCCTCCCTCTCCCTCTTTTCCCTCCCTCCCT